ATGTAAGTAGGCTGTTTTACTTTTGCGCTGTCTGTTTGTATATTTGGTTTTTGCTCACATAAATTTGTATTCGTCTTTTTGCAGAATATTCTGTATGTTATTGTTTTCTTCTTAGGCCGTCATTTGATTGAAGGAAGCATTTACAAACTGTTTCAAATGGATAATTTGCAACACCCTACAGAATCGATTTAATTCAAAAAAATGCAAGGACAAATTTGAAATTTCGAAGAAAAAAATGTTGGTACATTCATGATAATTGTTGTTCATAATCAATACATTTTATTATCATAAATGTTTTTTTGAAATTCGACATCGATCGTGTAACTGCAAAAAACGTGATAGTTTTTTTTTAGCAACATTTTATTCTTGATTCAACAGTGATTTGATGCATTTCAATAATCTAAAAATTCTTGTTCTCAACAATAACGGAATTGAGATTGGATGGAATTGATATCATTGATCTAGAACATGTAAATGTTTCAAGATTTTACCATCACTTGAACGACTTTAATTTTTTGTTTTAATTTTCACAAAATCGATTGATCATATAGTTTCCCAATGGAGTAAAGTTCAATCACTGAAAGAAATTTCTTTTCGTGCATCTTGGAGTTACTCTGAACAAAATGTTCAATGGGAGGTCTGCAACATTTGATAGAAATATAAGTTTCCAATCTTTTAAACATTTAAAACGCTAACACGATCGCAATAAATTGGTCTTTGAATTTAATACTAGTCTTATTATTGGTATGCCACATCAATCTGCAACAATGTCACGGGGTTTTTGTAATTTTCCCCATCAAATTCAGAAATCCAAATTGAAAAAGTCACAGACGAGAGTTATTTATTAGTCTTAAGATAAGGGGCTTCAAACGGCTCAAACATCACATTTTTATTTATATAAGAAATTCAACTGAACCTTTTGTAGATTTTTTTTGATGAAATATTTTTAAATTCATAAAAGATTTTGTGTTGTTGATTTGAGTTATTTGGATTTTTTCTTTTAATTTCAAATATCAATCTGGTGTACCGTTAAGATGCTATGCTTGTCCAATTATGTTTCCCTCTTGTATTTTTTTATCCAATGCCATAATTCGAAATTTTTGTGTATTTTTACTTTAAAAACTCAAATTATGGATGTAGAGACACTTAAGAGACAAAAAATTACCAGAAAAGAACACAATTGGACAGGCTTAATGTATGCAGACACGATGCGTTCTTGATGTACCAAGAAATTCAAAAAATGTTTTTTCACGAAATATGAAATAAAAAAGATAATGAACTCAAATGTTTTTTTTTTTTGTTTTAATAATATTTTTCAAAAACAATCTACTTAATACGATTATTGAGAACGATTATATAATCTCACCTTTTTATAAATGGTTATAAATTTGTTGAAAAAAGAGTTTTTTGAGTCAGGAATATTCTGCACGAGCACTAAAAAGTATGAAGGTGATAAGAAAATCGCATCCATTATTATATACGATCATGCATTACATGAGACATTTATCAAGATCCATGTAATATTTGAATTTGAAAGTCATATAAATTCAAAAGAATAAAGAATATCATTCCAATGGTGTGTATGTGTGTACGATAAAAGAATTTGCAAATTGATTACACATTTTTATATTATGTAATAAAATTATTCGTATCCCGCTTATTGTTGAAAGTTCAGAGAGAAAAAAACACACGTAAATTTGTATGACAATTGAAATTCAAATAGAATTTAATTCAGAAGTCATAATATCATATTGATGTAAAAAAGTAAGCCATGAGACAAAACGTACAAAAGAAAGAAAGAAGAAAAAAATACTTCGTGCAAAAGCAGAAAATAAATTTGTCAGATATATAATTGGAGGGTTATGTATGTAAACACAAACAGAAAACAAAAATCGTATGGATGACATCAAACTGTGTGAGAGTGTGTACAAGGAAGAGATTGTTTTGTCTCTTTTGTCTGTTGCTGTGCATGGAGAAAGCGAATGGCAAAATATTTGTACGTGTGTATTGATGTGACACAATACACTCCGCCCATATTTGCTTCCGATGGAATTCAATGGCGCATCAATGTAAATAAAATGCTATTTGGTCGGGTGCGTTTTCCAACATCTGCACAAACTCGAATGGTGTCATTTTTGTGCGAGATTTGACTCGAGGATTTTGTGCAAACACACACACACATTCAACATCGTCTTCATCATCATCATCGCCGATAAAATACGATTGACGTGACGGTTTCAAGCTATTATCGGGCGCTTAGTTATCCAATTTATCGCTTCTTGCGAACAGAATAATAAAATATGTTTTACGTTTGCTATTGTGATTTCTCGTACATTATTACGGAAGAGGAGTCAACCCACACAAAGGCACATGTATAACGGTTAAATGCTCTTTTTTGCCACATTTTGATGCCTTTTGTTGATGTATATTAACAATGATTTACAAATGTTATTTCAGTGCATATGTTGTATGGGAAGCCGCTTCAAATTAACACATCGTCATTTTATTTAAACAACGTGCTTCTAATGGACTGAAAATGAAAAATTTATTCTATCCTGTTAAATAGATATCAAATTATCACAAATTACTACATCTCCGGCACACACAGGGGGAGAGAAAACATTTTGGATTTAGAATCAAGCTATAAAATGGATGAAATGCAATACTTTGTTGACTTTTATTCTGAATTGAATATCTGGGATTTTGATTTACATATTTGTTTTTCTCACCCGAATCGAAACCTATGAACCACTCAACGAACAGTTGAGTTTCACAGTTAAATTTTGGCGAAACTGTTTCACCGTAAATTTCTTATACATCATTTGAAATGTTAACATGCAATGCAAAAACAGTAATGAATATATCAAATTTTAACTCTTGGGAAGTCGAGGCATCAGAAATTTGGTGGTGGTGCATTTTTTCAACGGTATGTTCTTACAAAATGATATGCTTAAAACATCGAATTTTCTTCTCAAAATGCTGATTAAACATTTAGCAGCTGCTTTATACAAACTCATATTTTCTAATCAAACAATATTGATATAAGGATTTGAAGTTGAATCGGCTCGGCATTTGAATTCGATTGCGCTGATTAAACTAAAATAACAATTTCGAATCGCTTTACCACAATACAAAATTGTTGGCTTTAGACAATTTTCATCCAAAGACACTTAGCATGAAATGAGAGCCAAAAAGCGATACAAAATTTCATCAAAAATTCAATTGCATTAATTCACAAATGGGATTTCGATTGGTTTGTGGCTATTTGTATTTCATTGTGTGTGTGTATGTGTGTCTTTTCCATCTGTATGAATTGTGATCGAACAACAATGGACAAACTTAGTTAATCGTTTTTGCATTGGCATCGAATGAAAAAAGAAGAGAGAGAAGAACACGCGTAGCCTTCAAACCTTAAAGATTTCGTAGTATAAAATCAAATAGCAAATAGTATTGTTTACATAATACCTATGTAATTCGTCGGTCGATTTAGAGAATGTGGCGACTTTATTGGCCGTAATTCGTCCGGTCTCAAGTGCAGCGTTCGACATCAACATCGGTTTGATAACGGGAATCAATTTTCAAATGTAAATAAAACCGAATGGTCGACAAGGGCAGACAAAAGCCTGTGCAAAATAATATAATATAGTTTTTGGGTCGACGAAAACCATTTAAATTTTTGTCAAAACAAAAACAATGGCCACAAAAACCATTTCACAGCATACACTCAACAGCATAAGAATAAATAAGATGGAAAACACAAGAAACTTGAACATTTCTTTCGTCAAGACAAAAACCAGATGAAACAAAGGAAATCGGTTTCGCTTCATTTGTCATTGTTTAGTTAGGACTAAAGTCATCAAATGATTGAATGAAAGTTTATATACGCATGAAAATAATAAGAATAGAAAGAGAGAAAGATAATGAAATCATGTTCTTTGTGGTTGAGTGCATGTGCCATAGCCGTAACCTCACAAGTACATCATTAAATATTTATTTATCAATTTTGGAAATTTCTCTCGTTGACAAAACAATGTACATCCATTCAATTTGCAAGACACTTTTTCATTCAAAACTTATCAGCCAAAGCAATCTTGGGCAATTGTACTTGAGACTTGAGACATATAAATATTGGCTAATTCGTTGATTCATTTAAAATTATATTCATTCAAAGTACCTTAAGATTTCGAATTACAGACGGTAATTTTGGGGGCGACATGGGAAAATGTCTATTTCCCAAAGAATTTTCTCATTCAATGGAATTTTTGCGGGTGGTCTATTTGGCACGAGCGCATCATTTTATACGTTGCAAATGAATTCAATGTAAAGCATTAGTGTGTGAAAGGGTAGAGGGTATGGTACGGTTCGAAAAATTTCCTTCGACTTTCAGGGGATTTTGGCCAAATTTCCTCCCCGAAATTAATTTCGAACAGATTCTGAACAGAATGGAATCAAAATTCCTTAATTAGAATACAGTTTTGGAAAATGGTTTCAATTTGAAGTTTTGAAAACTAACCCCCCTAAAAATCTGATCTCGCACATTACTGCTGTTAAGTATTACATGTGCTCCAAAGACTGCACGCATGCAGAAAACCAGAAAAAAGCAACCATACCATTACAATGTAAATGAAAATTGTTCATTTGAAATAAAATATGAAAAAATGCACTTGAAAATATGTCGCATTTGCTTTTTGGCTAAAAAGTCAATTTGTTGAAAATATTGTATTTTGTATAAAAACAAAAACACATCGACACAATTGCAATTAAAAATTTATTTCTTTTGAATAATAAATTAAATTATGCAAAACCGAATAAAAACTCGTTGACGCGTGAAAAGAACAAGAATAAAAAAAAAAATGTGTTCGCAATGAAAATTGTGCGAACGACACGTCAAAAGGGAACAAACGGAAGCTTTCAACCGAGAGAATGAGAGAGGATAAAAAATCTGATTTAATAACGGTATGGATGAAAAACGACGATGAATTTTAACGTGATAATAATCTCGCTCAAATTCTTTCAATCGAAACGTACACAAAATATGCGGCCCGAACGAAAAAAACCATCGACAATATGGAAAAGGTGGCAACTTTATGGCTTTTTCCACATAGCCATAGATATATGAGAGAAATACAATGACAATTGAGACGTAATCACAATCTTATGCATCGGATAATACATACAAAATATACATAAAACACATTAAATAACATTAATTTAGATATTATGGAATTAGATGAGAGAAGCACATAGTAAAACGCATGTAACGCGCGCACACAAATCTTGACTCGCTCGCTCTTTCACTCACATTTGCGCGTCTCTATATCCGATTGACTGTAATTCAGGAAACGCCCCAGCACCACTATCTCTCCGTACCACTGGCCCGACAGCTGAATTTCAAATAATGAGAAAATCAAATAGAACAAACTACTTCCATTCTACACATTCGTCATCGTGACCATTCGTAAAATACTATATCTATACATCATAATGTATGTAGATGTGATTTCCCGCTTGTTAAGACAAGCAAGCAAATACATTCAGATCGATTCAATCTTCTTTTGTGCAAACACACAATATTTCCGTTTGCATTTTACACGTACAATCGTTTTCTTCTTTTATTTATAATGACAAACATATATGGATATTTCATTCTAAAGCGAAAATCAGTTTTTGTACTTCACCTCTTCAGTTTGGTGTACGTATTTGAATGGTACTAGAGGGTTGTCGCACACAACACTCAAACAATCAAATCAGAATGAAATAGGTGGAGCTTGTATTCATAGGCACCGTTTCAACAAGAATATACTCATTCCTGTTGTGCACGCGCACCATTTGACCGGAGCGACAAGGACAGAGCGTTGAACCGATTTCTAAGGACAATATAAAGCGTGTGTATGTGTTTACACATTTTGAAATATACTCGTCTGCATGATTTTTACTCGATGATGATTTCTTTGACTCAACAGCTCTGGCAGAACGTTTCATATCGTTTAACGATCTGGTCATATATGTGTCGATAAGTTCGGGTGTGCACTCAATTTTTAAGTGATATTTACCGTGAATTTCAACCAAGTATACACCGTGCCATATTTTATTCATAAAACTAAAAAAAAATCAAGCCGATTTTTTCTTTCGAAAAACGGATTTTCGTTTGTGAATTTAATATCTCTCAAATTTTGAAAGTAAAATTAAATCATTATCATTTTTTATTTTGTAAACGGTGACATTTTTGAATGGCAACAAAAAATTGAAGTTCATCTTTGCCATATTTGAAAACATTTTGTGTATAATCCTGAATTCTGTGACGCGCTTCGGGCTTCTTAAAGAAGCCGATTTAACGCCGCCAAATTCGCCCGTGTCTTTGGCATCACCGGTGACATCAATGGTCGAAACCAATTCGAATCAAATGACTGTTCGAAGTGTACCGCACCAAAAAAATCAATCAATTCCAAATCAAGCCTATTTAACCACCGCCATGCTGCTCGGCACACAAAATTGTAACTACTTAGGACAACGATTGAATAATTTAAGGGAGCATATTGCCGATAATGATTTGATATTGAATGCAAGTGTTCATCAAATTCCACAACAAATGGGACAAATGCAATCGAGTCCCGCCAATTTGAATCGAATTAAATTGGAAAAAGACACCGAAAAAGAGACGCTACAGCGGAAAGATGATGCAAAAATTCGTGATTGTAACAGTGGATCGATGGCAACGTCAAACTTTACGATTGATAGCATTTTGGCAACGAAACCCGTTGATATTAAATTCGAATACAATTCAAAGTCAGAGAGTCGATCGCCGAGCAATTCACCGTCGCTCAGCACAACATCAAGCCCAGTTCGACCGACAAGGGTACCAGCCATGCTACATCCTGGTTTACATTTGTCACATCTAGCCGCAGCCGCTGCCACTGGCTTTGGCAATCCATCCGATTTTCTTGGTGAGTTTTTCCTTCCTCCTTCATATATTTGGTTAGAATGTAAACTCGACTTGTATTTTAGCGCCCATTCATATATTGAACATTTTCAGTCTCATTCATCTTTGAATTGGTCATCTATTTCTTTGACTTCCAATTTCTCGTCGACAACGAAACGATTCCTCAAAATGAAAACGTTCTGTGTTTTTCTAATCGATTCAGCTTCATCGCTTCGTAAATACAATCTGTATCAAAATTTTATGAGAATGGTCTCGCGAAATAACATATTGTTTATGTTTTGTATCGTTTAGCTCTTGAAAAAGAATTCAATGGTTTTTTCCATTAAGCGAAATGATAACAAAAAAGAAAGAAAACAAATCCACACTCTCTTCAACCGCATCCCACACACATCGGTGCATACATTCAACGGTAGTGAACGCTACCGTTTTTTTTTTTCGTATCGAGTCTGTCGAGTTGAAAAATGCACAGGAAAAAAATACCAATAAAGTAAATAAACATTTTTTTATTGAAAATAATAACCAAAAGGATAAGCATAATAGCAAATGTGGAGATGGGCAAAGAGAGTAAAGAAAAGAATACATTGGAAAGAAAAACAAACCTTCAGGACATACTTAGGCTAGCGGATTGAAAGGCACACTGAATTTAAAATGTATGATGGTGGCTGGCATTGATATAACCAATCTTCAAAATTCGAAAATCAAAGATATTTACATTTTTCATTTTCGTCTTTGCCCACGTCAAACCGTATTGTTGAACACATTTGGCCGAGACGCCTGAGCATACACACACACACGCACACTCACATCTTGTATGCATCAGGGAGCTTAGGCATCATTGATGGCGGTTAAGAAGAAAATAGCCGCAAGTCATACTCTCTTGCTAAGAAAGTACGCACACGGGCACATAATAAAAGTATTTATTACTTAAAAGTGAAGCCGAGCGCACATGTATGGAAGCCAAAAAAAAAAACGAAAATCATCATCGTCATTGTTTCGATATGCCACACCATAACTTCTTATACATTGAAAATCCTAATAAATTATTGATAAATACACATCAAATGCGTCAATATATTCGATAATACCTCTTATCGGTTACCTGAAGGACTTTTAATTTTCCGTAACATTCTCCCGTTCTCTTTGGCCAATGTTTGTTTACTCGATGCTTTAGTCTTATTAAATCGAAGCGCACACCGTTTTATTTGGATTTATTTTTATTAATTTTTCATTTGTTTCAGTTTTCTTTGCCGTATCGCTTTTGTTGCATTAAATTCTGTCCTTCGAGAAGACGAAAAATAATATACAAATGTTTTCTTTTCACTTTTTGAATGAGTGAAAGAAAATGTCGACGCAAACATTTATAATGCGTTGTAAACGAGATCCGCAAATATATGACGAGTAAATAAACATTTTGAATTGACCTTGTGAGATTTCTAAATGCTTTTATATCATTTAATTTAAGTGTGTGTGTATCGCAGAGTCTTTTCTGATTTGTCAGAATACCTCTGTCGATTGATGGGATTTTCGATGCTTCATTGGGCTGTCTTTCTCTTCAAAAATATATTTAGCAATTGAAATTTGCAAATTTCACATTCTCTAAATCTAATATGGTGTGATTCACACCTCGAGCGAGCATTTTTTCGGGTCTGCTGATTAATTTAATGGTGCACATCGAAAATCCGAAGCTTGTCTTGGCTCCAAAGCAGAAAGAAGGGAAAATCTTCAAATACATTCGCACCTACTTAACATATTTATAAATAAAATACACTTACAATACAAGAAAATCGCAGATCTGATAAACATCGGTATTTTTCGTTCTTCGAAATTCTATCTTCATTCAGATTTTCCTCTCTCTCTCTCTCTCTCTCTCTCTTTCTTTCTTTCTTTCTTTTTCCATACATTTTATTCAAATGAAAAATGGAATATAAAAGAAATGAAAAAAAAAACATTTATGCGGCAAAATCGGTTGAACTTATTTTTCCGCAGATTAATTTTTTACGCTGTCACGATTACAAACCACCACTCATTCATCCGTTCGGTTCACGTGGAACTTCACGTATAACCGAACAGAAAAGAAAAAACCAGGCGAACGAAAGAAAATATCGAATCCATATTCATACATCATCCATTTACATAAATGGTACTTTATTTTTTTTTTCGAATGAAATAAAATATAAACATTTTTGTTTCCTCAATTTTTAAAAAGTACTTCTTTGCATTTGAATTACCTTCAAGAGGTGGTGGTGAAAGAAAAAAAATCACACAACATAAGAGAATAAGTACCTAAGCCGCCCACATCTTTATATTCTAAACATGTTTGTTATTCTTTTTTCCCCTCACCTCTCGAGTAATGCAACGCATTAAAATAATGCCATGCCAACTAAACAAGTCACTTATCCGTTTTGAGTATTTTAAACACACCACCGTTAATTATCTGTCCGACAATTTTTTTTTTTCGTGGTGGTAATCCAATGCTGATTTCTTTTATGATTATGGAACAAAAAATGAAGAAAAAATAAATATTACCAACGTTTAATCCGCTGGGATGACGAATTACGGCCAATAATTCGCTTGTCTCACGAGACAAAAAACACCGAAACAAACACACGACGTCAACGAACCGTTTACTGCTGACGCAAATGGCTCTTTAATGATTTTAAGATTAAAACATTGTCCCACAAAATTTCCAAACAAATAGAAATTGTTTGCATTTTTTCATCTTTTTCACCTTTTCGAGCCGAGTAAAGATTAGCACGTGATCGTCTTTGCTTTGGCATTTGCATGGAAAAACAAATTGAAAAGAAGCCATAAATGCAGTGTTTTACTTTTTTCAATCCATTTTCTACTTTGAACAATTTTTTATGAGATTTTTCGAACGACATTTACAAAACGCAAAGTCAAGAAAAAAAATCAGTCACAATCAGGTTTTGTGATTTCAAGTCCAAATGAAAAGAGAGGAAAAAAATTAACCGTTTAACGCCGAACAATGAAAATCGGAAAAAAATAGAAAAACGCGTCGAAAATGTTTATGAAAGTGAACTGAAGCCAGATAAAGATGTTTACTTGAAAATTTCTTCTTCTTTTTTTAATTTACATTTCTGATGTTATAGAAACCGATGATGAAATTTGGTGACGATATAAAAACGACAAATACACACATACACTATACCATTTAATTTAGTTTCCATACGATTCGATTAAAAATGCGGGAAAACGCATTTTTATGTTTGCACAACAAATGAACGACGGTTGCCAGAGCTATTAATGACAATATCGTTTAATCAAAATCCATGCACACCCACACAACAAACATCACATTAGAACTTAGTGAAACCAATCAAATGATTAATCAGAATACATGAAGGAATTGACGAGAAATTGAAGAACCGAAGTAAAGAAAAATATCTGATTTTTCCTTAACCGAATTATATATTTAAAAGATTTTTCGGTTTACAATTCAATGAACTTTTCTGCATTGCGCACTGCAAAACCATATTTCCAGCAAATTTTCCAAACAATGTAATTTTATATTGCTGATTCTTTTATCGCATATTCCACGTTCTTTTCACTTCAACTCGAGGGCAATTTTTCTATGCAAATTGATTTGATTTTGAATCACTGACCCAAATTTACAAACGCAAACAATTCAATTCTTTTTTCAATCAAACCATTTTTTTTGCATTTTTGAATTTTAGATTGAAAATTCGATAATTTATTCGCATTTGCAATTATAATATTCTTTTATTCAAATTAATCTTGGAAATTTTTTTACGGAAAATATTTTGATTTTATTTATTTTTCTCAGTTGCAGCTTATCCGAATTTTTATCCACAGTACATGCATGCGGCGGCGGTTGCACATGTTGCTGCCGCTGCACAAATGCAGGCACATACAGCGCATACGTCGTTATCACATCATCATCACAGTGGTCACTTGGGTCATGGACCACCACCAAAACGGAAGCGTCGCCATCGTACCATTTTCACTGAAGAGCAACTCGAACAATTGGAAAAAACATTTGAAAGCACACACTACCCAGATGTGCTACTGCGCGAACAATTAGCACTAAAGGTTGATCTGAAAGAAGAACGCGTTGAGGTAAATATAATCAGTAATCACACAATTATTTAAATGAAACTCTTTGTTTTTGCAACTAGTTTTAAGCTGACTCTTAATTTATTTGTTTACAAATCTTTTGTCGCACACAACATATTTACATAAAAGTGGTATTGTCACAGGGAATTAAGACTGTACGGTAAAAGTACAAAAAGGCCATTAAATTAATTTCTCAATGTTTCATTCGCCCGTTGGAATTGTGTCAACAAATCCTCTAAATTTCTACAAACATTAAGCCGTGAATATTAAATCACGATTTTAGTACCCTCAATTTGTGAGCAATCAACAAGAAGTGCTCAGTACCATTTCCGATTCGAATGGCATTATCAAAGTCAAAAGATCTCTATCAAATTAACTCTCAAACACCGATTTTGAAATTGATTCGAAATGCATAAACAAACATTGGCTATTGATATGGTTTCCATTTGTCGAAAGTCCCCTCACAATATGTCACTTGCAACTCACTGCTATACAATGCATAATCTCTCTTGGATTTGTGTCCGCACCGAATGTAGCGCGTGATAATATCTCAACAATTTGTTGTTATTTGAAGATGAAGAAACACTTTTCTAACTAAAGATTTAGTTCGTGCGCCAATTTCTGAAAATTAAAGTTTAAGGAAATCTGTTCCTTTTGATCTCTGGCTAATCCTTTCACAAGTACCAGCTCAAATAAACACCAACCCAGTTATGTGTTGTTGATTGAAAAAATTTAAAAGACCGCGTGTCGATTTAATTGGCATGGTGACAGAGCATGGTATTATCACGGCCTCAATTTTAGATTGTGTACGATTAAATTGCACGATGTTGATAAGCATCTGGATAAATAGTCGTGCATTTGTTTTGAATATTTAATGCATGTTCGTGTGAACGCACATTTCTGGTATTAATGCCATCAATGCTTGAGGCTAAGATTTTACAGCTCTTAAACAAATCACTTCGACATTTGCTGGTATTACTTAAATAAATTTGAATGCATTAAAACTGTTGAGTAAATTGTTTGATTAAATCAGGAGAGAGCGAGAGAGAGAGAAACGCAAAGAATGTCGAATAGTCATCACACTTATTATTGATTCAGTGAATTCTTCATCGCAATTGGACTCTGACATAAAATCTATGAGATTGAACACATTCCATGTTGTAAAATACACAGAACGAATTCAAATACCAAATGACATGTTTGAAAATGTCATTGAAATGGCTAGATTTTTATTCTTCCAAAACGCACAAACGGATTAAAAAAAGCCCATTGAATGCTTTTGACCACAGGTAGTGTAATTCAACGAGTAAAATGCAGAAAATTATTTTGTGACAGCCACTTGGCTACTGTTTGTTTCGGTTCATGTTTACACACTGTTTCCTCTATCGATAAACGAATAAAAAAAACAAGCCCGACTAAATTCCATAATTATGTCTTATTTTTGTGTTGAAGAACTCATTCAATGTTTAGAATATCTTTGACTTATTGACAATGATAAACAAACATCGAAGACGAAGACACACACTAGCCCTCAGACGATGAAAAGTAAACAATACATTTTCGCTGAATCATTTACCAATACCCATTTTTCAAGAGGTTTAAGATTCACTTTTTCCAACCAATATGCGATTCTATGGTATGACTAATAGGCTCAAGTGTCTACTCTCTTTCACTCGTTCAGGTGGTATTTTGATTAAAGAGTTAAAATATATTTCAGGCACACAATTTTTCATGTGTAGGTGGCCTTTTCCGCTTTTGTCAACTTGAAAAAGAAAAAGACAAAATGTACACAAAACCATTGCAAATGGAATGCTCACTTAACGCTCATGTTGGTGGCCTGTGTCGTCGACGAGACGCTTTTTTTTGTATTTATAAAGAATCTTCCCCGCAAGCTCATTTCATTACTTAAAACTTTTTCAATTGGTTTTGATTCAAAAGATCATTTTACCATGGCGCGCCAAATTCAGAGATGGATTTCAATCAATCCAGTCTCGTTAAAAAAAGTTGACATTGTTTTCTTAATCTTTGTTAAGTGAAGCAAAAAAAAAAACTTGAGATTGAGATTGAAACGCAACAATCATCAGCATTAAGTACTCACCATGGAATTAAATTTCCAAAAACTTTGCCAAAAATAAATATTTAAAATAATTCAATAATATGATTTGAATTTATCAGTGTACGTATTTTAATGCAAACCCTATCATGAATTATTATGATTTCTTCGCCGCTTTTCTTTTCTATTAAAGTACTATTTACATCTGGTGTTGTATCATTTTTAAATTTGATGGTGATGCTGAAGCTGAGATATAATATTCGTTATTATATTTGTTATTTATTCAACATAATTTAACAAGAATAACAACAATGCTAAAGTTAACAAAGTATACGTAATTTAAATCATACCAAATTCATCATTGAAAATGCACAAATATTGTGAAAATCAAAGTAAATAAAACATTGAATTGAGTCGGTTAAACAACGAACCCCAAAATGTGTGCAATGAGAACAAGTAATCAAGAAAAAAAGTGTACGCCCATCCTCCCACGAAAAATCAAGTGAGCGAATTAATTCATCATTCAACTTTATAAAATATTTATTGTCATTTCCTCGCTTGGTCCTATCTATTGTTATTATATATTTTTTTATCTACGGTGAAGCATTATTTTCATTATTTCCAATTGAATTTCGCTCCATTAAAATTGAATGTTATTTACATTTTTATTATTTTAACAGATAATAATAAACAATGGCAAAAATTCATCATCATTTCCATTCATTTCATAACTCTGTTAAATTGCAATCGAATGAGATGACATCGTGATTTTGATTGTTCTCTTTTTTTCACGTTTACGTACTAAATGAGCGTACAGTACTCAAGAGGCGGCAGACGGAATGAAGTGTGGTGAGAGAAAATGCGTATGTTTTTGTCATTGAGTGGTTTTTGCTTTAACCTTTAGCCAATTGCGATTGTTTGATAAATTCGGTATCCCAAACCGCTTTGTTTGTGTATTAAGCCGCAAATATATCTTTACCATGCAACCACATCTCTTTATTTTGTATTGTCTAACCATGGCAGTGTCTTATGCGGTTTTCAAGTGCTTCCCTTTTTCATTATTCGGCACTTTTTCTCGTTCTCTCATTTTGGTATCGTACGAATATGCTCATTTTAAGCTGTTCGTATTTATGAATCGATGCGTCGACCCCACAAATGATTCGGATTCAGTGTTTACATTCTAATATTATGTTTGTTGTTTGTTTTCTTAGGATAAGTTTAATTAATTGACACTTAATTACATTGTTAAATATTAACCGGAGACGAATAAAAGAGATGATAACAAGCTACTGATATATTATGATTTATATGGTCGATAGCCTTTGGCAACACAGCCCACACACACGTACACATTTTTCACATGGCTGAAATGACAAATTTCAACGTGTATCAAGCAACAAAAATATTTGTCTTTTCGAATTATAAATTCAGTTATTGATTGATTTTATTACAAGCCATCCCGTCCATTTGGCTCACTTTTAATTATAATCGTTTGCATTTTTGGACTGATTTATGGTTTATGCAAAATTTATGTATACCTATTGCTTTAAGCTTATTTATTTATTAATCCATTGTTTGATGTTGATGGAATAAAAAAAAGAACAACAACTGAAATGGTGCAATGCGAAAGGTTCACGTGTGTTCCAAGAACTCCGAAAATTAATTTTAATATTCAATTATACTATAAAAACAATCGACACAGCGGGGTTAACAGTTTATCACCACTCAATCATAGAGTGCAGTGAGTGCACACACTTGCGCACTCTTGAAATTTGAATTAAACACCGTGCAATTGATGCATATCGGATATTACAAAATTGAGTTCATAGTCGTGGTTAGTTCATGATTTTTTTCACCAAAAAACAACCACAAGTATGGAACCTTCACCGCTATTTCGAATGGTATGCTGCGATGAAAAAAATGTGCCTGCTAGGCAAAAATGAGCGCAAACAATATTCACGTTATATTGTTTTAAAATCCTTTTGCAACTTTAATATATTTTGTAAACACACGCAAAAACCATAACAACACAACCACACGAATTGCGTTCGATTTTTTCCTCGGTTTCATCTGGATCACCCTCGATAATGTAGTCGCGGACCAGAATAGTGTGAGAGAGAAAGTAAGAGGAGAGATTTCAGTGCGTATCGAATCGCGTGGTATACAAATTTTGGCATAAAATTTTATTCAACCACGTTGTTTTTCCACCATGAAAATTCAATTATAACTTGATACATCGACGATGCACACCGAATCCGTGCTTCCATATATATATTTTTTCCGCTAGAAAAAGAAAACAAAGGCGAAGGCGAATCAACGCGCAATTCAAATATTGAAGGAAAAACTCAAATTCGAAAAGTTTTCATCGCAAAATTACAACCGGAGAAGAAACCGATTTTTGGCTCAGTAAAATTAAATATTAACCTATTCAATATGATGGATTGAATTTTGAAATTGAACGTTGATGAAATTCGATGCAAGAAATTTCTTGAAAATTGCATTTTTGAAATAGTGTTCAGTTGCCAATGAGTCTTCAGTGATGGCCCATGACCCAATTGTGGAAAATTATGAAAATATTGTTGAGGTTTTTGAAATGGATACACTAAAATGTTGGTTGAATAAAAATAAGCGCGTTTATGCGTTTGCTAATGTTACCTAAGGCAATTTTGGGATGCTTATGCAAATTACACTAGAAATCCGCTCAGCTCAGCTGCTTTGTACTCACTCGCAAAACGCAACCAACACACATCCATACACACCCATTCAAAATGCACAAACACACATCATACAATGGCCAGAAATCCAACAGTTCAATGAAAACACCTTTCGACAACCACACACGCACATGCATTTTCTCCGAAGTGATGCAAACACTCAAGGGCATCGGACCACATATATGCAGAAATTGTTGAAATGAAGAGGGTGTTTCAGTATTGATTTCATCTCGAATTCAAATCCAAATGTGATGATTTAGGGGATTGATAAACTCTTCTAATGCACCACATTAAAATTCACTCAAGGGTAATGAGCAGATTTACAAGAGGTTTTTTTGCGGCTCTTGAATGATTTTTCATAAGGATTTATGGACCGTTTATGCTAGTTTAAATGTATGTGAGGTTCGAATTTGTAGGATAACAAACATTTTATTTAGACAGAGCCTAAATATGCCTTCAAGACACAATTTTATTATTATTATTTATTAACGATAGGAAAACATTGTCATATTGGAAAAATAGTGGTTCAAAGTGCTCGGTTGGAAAAGTGGTTTATCAATACTTTACTTTTTAATATATTTCTTTATTTCGGCCCTTGTATTTCTTATAAATGTGCTGCGTTCAGTTCTTACTTTGCTAGAAAAATGCATTTCGTCCATATTTATAATGAAAACTACAAACAAGAAATTAAACTATGCCGCCGATGAGTCTGTTTTATCCAAACTCAAGCAACTGTATCGCAAAACCTTTGATGTGAATGGAATGCGTGGGAATTAAAGGATCTTCTTCAAATACTTTTATCTTGAAATCATCTCAAAATCTTAAATTTTCCATTTTTTATACATGTTTTTTTTTGTGAATTTTTCATGAGAAAAATCGTTTTCCTTTCAAATCGAATCCGTTTGTGGACACCGATTAAATATGTTTTTCATTGACCGATACAGTTTTTTTGTCGAAAAAAAAAAATGTTCTATTGAAGCATGCGCTAGATAATCTTTAGCAATTTACTTGTTATGTATTTCGGTGTGCAAACAATTGGCTTTATGCGGATTAAAATGTACCGGTGTATGTTTGAAGTAACAAAAAGACCAACCAAAATGACGGTCAGATCAAACGAGGAAATCAGTTAGTTGGCAATTAAATGGAGGTGTTTAAGTGTGAGCACTTCAGCTACTGTTTGCGTCAATTCAACTGAAAGTTAAAAAGGTTCCGATGCACTGAAGCCATTCGCATTCATCACAAACAAATAGAACAAAAGAATAGAAACAGTTCATTGTTCAAACTATCTGTTCGCTCATTGCACTCGATTGCTTCCATAAATGCAAGTTTAATTGTTTGCAAACGAAGAAATGGCAAAAAAAAATACGTTTCGAGTGAATTGATTTCAATTTTATTTATTATGCAGTAAATAAATCAAAGACAGCACCGACAAAATGGTAAACAATTTTAACACGCCAAACAATTTCTCTGGTGTAAACAGAATTTAATTCTATTTTGAGTTTCATGCGGAAAATGTTAAAACAAAGAATTGAAAAATTGGTAAATCATATTATTTCATAGGTTGAAGATGTTTTGAGAGTTTATGCTGAATTGCATTGCGAACGGAAAGTTTTGAAACTGTTACAAATGAGTTAATTTGGTATTGAATTTCCAATTTTCTATCGTCCAACGAGAATAACGAAAGTTTTTTTCTTTGTTATTTCTTCGTTTATATTTTTCGAATTGAAATTGTACGGCTTCATTATCACGTAATTGGGGATTCAGCACATTTTTCCCATGTTTTCAAACAACAAAAAGCATTCAATGAAAATTGGAGCATTTTAGTGAAGCATGGTCGTTTGTTTCAATTGTCTGTCAGTTTGAATTCTTTGGATGATATTTTCCAATGCGTAGCGTGGCCAATTATTTTGATTACATGATTTGTGACCATTTTGAAATTCTAAGAATTTAAAGAGCATGAATTTCAATTATGATTATATGTTCATTCGCATTGAGCACATTTATTTCGTCGAAAGACACATTTTGTTATTAATTATAATGCCTAAATAATTTTGCAGTTGGCTAGTTACATTTTCTCTCAATCTAACTCGCACAAATTTCGAATCGTTTGATCTAAGGCTTTTTTTCTCACATAAAGTATAAGCGAAACATTTTTGTTCTGTGGATCATAACAAATATCAGCTCATGGCATTAATCTTTCGGTGAAGTGAAATCAGCTGTCAGTTTATATTTTGTCAAAAACGTGATTTCACCCGAAACATTTAAATTCAAAATGCTGAAACAGTTTGAAGCTAATTGGAATATTCTTTGATGTAGCCTCAAGGTAACATTTTTGATGATGCTCTTTATTCAGATTTTTTTCTATATGAATTTAGCTTTTCCATCAAAACAATAATAATATATAAATGACAACCCTCCTTTTTTATAATGCCATAGAAACGCCCCAACAAAAACTCATAAAACTCAGTGTATTTTCATTTTTTTTTCTGGTTCTAAGTGGCAAATGTGTCAAATCATATTATTTAAATTCGATTTGACATTTATTTTGTAGCATGCATGTGCTGTCGAGTTGAAACTGAATCAACGAATTACACACATAAGTTGACAGTTCTCTCTCCTTCTCTTGTTCTTTCACTCTTTTTTTTTCCTTGTAATAAACTCTTTTTGTCATTTTGAACTAAATAAAATTGGCACATTGAATAGAGTTAACCGTTTCATGTTTGGAATTTAATCCATTTCGCCTACACAATTACTCCCTTTTAAATTGCATTCCAATTATCATGCCATTCGTCATTTCATGCCATTCATTTTTTCAGACATTTTCAATTTCGATCTCTCATCACTACTACACATAGACAATGCGACATAGTATCGCTAAGAAACTTCCATATTCTCTCCGAGCAATTCAATGTTTGCGGCAGCATTTTAAGTTGTTGTTTTTTCACGAAAAATTGGTTTCTTTATTCCATAATTGTTCTATTGTTACAGCAATGTAGAACAAAATATGTTCGACAATAGGGCACATTCACCTGGAGTTTATTTAAAAAATCAACCGAACAAAACAAACATTACAACAAAAAAAACAGCAACATGGAGAAGAAGAAAAATTAAGAAGCAAAAAAGGCAAAAAAATCACAGAACATTGTTGTCGCATTCATGTAATCAATCCGCCCCGAATAATAAGGACACCCGTTCTATAGGCTCTCGACAGCCAAATTGAAAGCAATTTTTTTTTAAGGCAAAGAGCAAGAAAGAGAGCGAAAAACACAAAAAAATGCCACAACCCAGCACCAGCCAAGCCATTCAACATTGGAATAATGTCGTTTGTGTATCGTGTGAGTTCTTTTCAATAGTTTGCTGTTACAGTTTTTCTCAAGTGAAAACGATACACATATACTCACTTAAAAAACAAGCATTTTCAAAAAAAAAAATGGCAGAACAAAATAAAGAGCAAATTGATATCCTTAATCCTTTTATGTTTTTCTTGTTTTCTGTATGCGTGTGTGTCAAACGACAGTTTTTTTTCTCTGTCTCTTTGTACGATCAATGTATGTGTCCTTTGTGTCAGGGTCTTGTATATTGTGACAATCGAAATAGTCTGGCTCCAAGAGCTAACAAAAATAAATACTACAACTGTACAATAATGGCCAACTTGTAAAATCATTAAAAAATTATTATCCTCATTTTAAGAGGATTCTACGATATAATAATCATATTTTTTGTGTTTCCTTTTTCAATGTCACTTTTGTGTGTCTGTATGCGAATGCCGAATATGTCTCACCCTTGTTCTTGATCTCAACCACAAACAATGCAAATATTAATTTTGCCAGTGATTTATTACATTAATCATTTAGTTGTTAAGCATCTTGAAGTAGAAAATTTAATATTAATTTTTTTTTCTCTCTCTATTTTCATTGTCTGTTTTACTAGGTTTGGTTTAAGAACCGACGTGCCAAATTCCGTAAGAATAAACGAGAGGAAAGCGAACGGCTTAGAAAATTACAAGAGGATCATTTAAATAATGGTTCGTTAAAATGCAATTTAAACGAATCCACATCATCGTTCAATGGCTTAACCGTTGGTCCTGTAAGCAGCAATAACAACACCACAAAAACATCACTTGGACATTCAAATCTCATGTACACATACAGTGACGCCGACGATTCATCATCCGATTTAGAAGTTGCATGAAATCATTTTAATTAGACAAATTCCAACATAACATTCTACATTTTAGGTTAAATTTCTATTTGTGCATATCTTTATATCATCATTCGCCCATTATGTCTATAAGTAAATTAATATTTAGCGACTCAAGCTCCAGTGGTTCATTTATTATTATCAATAGAAAAATGTTCGTGAGAGTAAGAAAGTTCATTGCGCACATTGTAAATAACGATATCTTTTTTTTTCTGTGAAAGAATTTCTGTTTAACCTTAAAAAAAATTCTTTTATTATCATAAACTCAGTGTTTCAATTTATTAAGTTCGCTCGTATTGCCATTAGAAGAGTTTCTTTTTTTAACAAATACTTCAATAATAAAGCTAAGAGATGCAGAACATTAAGCCAACATTTATATACTTGTTTATTGTGATTTAGTGTTTATTTTAACATAGTTTTATGTTCAGTTTAGTACGATGATTCATTGGGTAATGGATATTTTTTAAATGCAAATATTATATTGGCGAACAATTCAAACTATCAAATTGTAAATCCGTTCATGCACATTTATGTATATCTATTGTTAAACGTAAGAATTAAAATTCAATAAAAATGTATTCTCGTCAAAAAGAAAATGTATTCTCGTCAAAAAGAAAATATGTATTCCATTTCTACGTAATTGTGCAACAGAATAATGTGTTCAGTTTCACTATAAATGTCTTCCGGAGATATCAAAGCGGGTTTTGTAAAGACACACATTCAATTCAATGGATTCGTGTTGCATCACTCTTGGAGAACTTTTTACTATGTATAAGTGAAACCATATCGATCGAACAAACTTATTCATTACATAGTGCATGCACATAGGATTGCATCAAATATACTTCCTGGATGCAACCAAGTAAAATGACATCATTTGTTGTTCTTCTCACAACGACAATTTCACAATGGTAACTGAAATTACTTTTTGATTTAAAAAAAGGAATGGTTGACGTGTTTGCATGAAATAAGTGAGTCTTCTTTGAAAATATTAAACATTCTTTTGCATAATAAGTCAAAGGTAAAAAATTCATATATTTTCTTTTTAATTTTCAAGACTCCGTAAAATTTCATGTCAAGGTAAAATGAATGGAGTTGACGAATAAAGTGGGGGCTAATTTGAGAATTTGCAAAAAAATTGAAGGGAGTAATTTTGAAAGTCCAATCTATCGGTGTGCTCATCAAAAACCCATTGAAAATGGATTTTTTCGTTATACTCGGATGAAAATGATTAATTTTCAATGAACAGGGAGAAAATGTCGACCAAAAAAAGCAAAACAAACGAATTGTCCCAATTGAAAAAATGTTCTTCGCAAGCTCTTCTATTTGAAAATAGAGACGGTTCTTTCAAAATCACAGAGGGGATCATTTGAAATTCATTGTTCAGGAGGCTGTTTTGTACCCTGATCCTCCTACTCAGAATCTATGTGAATAGCACAAAATTATAAGAAACTTCCGTCGAAGAAAAAAAATATAAAAAAAGTTTTTTGATAATTTGATGGAAATGTGTACGCAATTTTCTGTTCCTTAATTTCAATATTCTTTAATATTTTCATATCTTCCTAGATCATCGAAAGAATGTCTATGTGAAAACTATTAAAAATCAGTTCTAAAAAAATATCTCTAACAAAACTGACCGCCCATAGCAAATGTGTTGTCTATCCCAAAATAGTATGTGTACAATTGCACTTTCACATAATATCCAGGCAATTGTTTATAAATCAATGAACCGTATATGAAGTAGCTGTTCGTATGTGTGCGATTTTTGCCAAGGCACCATATACATGTTGGCATCCATGACAGGGAAGTAAAACTGTAGTAAATAGTTGCACAAAAGCTGAATTAAATTCATAATGTAAAATATTTTAATCCACGCGTGATTGAATGAGTAAACATGAATGTTGTTGTGCTACATACAAAATTGTATTCAAATGCTAAACGATCAACGCTGATTTTGTTTGGTTTGAAAGCCTGCATTTGGTTCATTCGATGGATTTGTTTTTATATGTGAACGGTTTAACGCAGGGCGTATTGCAGAGCGATAACGAGAGTGTGTGTGTGCGAGAGAGAGATAGATAGTGGAAAAAACGAGCGATAAAAGTTTTAGCATTGCATTGCGCTAAAGACTTAAGTATTTATCCATGTTATGGCTCATACATACCCTTGGATAAATTTAACTATATAAATATGGATTATCACGTTAATTTGATTTTTCCCATTCACATTGGCCGGGCACCAGTTAATACGACATTTCAATCAACGTCATCGATGTGTGCGTGTGTGTGTGTGTGTGTGTGGTTCAAAAAATCTCATGGTACAACGGAAGCAAATGCAAACATGACAAAATTATCACGGGTGTTTAGGGTTTGAACATTGAGGCAACCAATTGAAAATCACATTCGATATGATTTGTCAAAAACACGCAGCTGTCTGGCATTTTTTTTTTAATTTCTCTGGCAATAAAAAAGTTCAATGAGACGGAGATTAGTCTAGTAAAACCGTATGTTTCACATGGCATTGCCAAAATGTCCGCTTTGAAAATTTGATTAAGGGATGATGATATAAAACGAACATATGCTCGGATCATAGAGGATGAAAATTAATATATTCATAAGAATTGATATGTGTAAATTGTACAACATTTTTTTTTTATTTTAATCAGCCACTGGCTTCACTCATTTGGACTAAATCAACTTTTTTCGATTTATCTAAAAGGCCATTTTGAAATATTCTCTATAAAATCGTACAAACATATTTGCCAAATAAAGGTAAGTCTGTTGATGGCTAAATAATGGATAATTGAATCATGTGTGCATAAACACATATGAGGGCAATTTACTTATAATTTCATAAAGGTAAATCGATGTCACATACGATGTTCTGACACCTAATTTCCGGTTATATTACATTTCACATAAGTTTGTTGTTCATAAGTGATGGCCAACAAAACCATAGATGCTCCGGAAAAAAACTAGTCTGAGGTTCAAAACACTGTGTGTTCAAGAACGAAAAAAAGGAAATGTCATAATTGTTGCATATAAATACGGAAATATTGTTTCTTTCTTCCTTTCAATACGGGCGAACGCAAGGCTTTATGGTTTCCTACGAAATATGAAATTGAAATGGATCGCAATGAATAAGACGGCATTTAAGAAGGTAAAAGGAATGAATAAAACACATCGGCCTTTTCAACAGGAGTATTACATGGTTTTTTGGCAGTTTGAAATCGATGCCGTTTTATTATTATATTCCGTTCATTTTTTTGTGAAACAGGCTTAAGTTGTTTATTTACTGACAATGAACCACGAAATGATCTTCAATTGACCAGTTAACAATTGTAACCATTTTTGTACAGAAAATACAAAAAAAAAATGTGTATGCTCAACAATGAAGATCGAGCTTTTATTTTTGTGAACCACATCATTACACACACCATTCACCAATGCAAACAGAACAACAGTCTCTTTTTATGTTGCCTCTTTGTCTACTTTGTTACATATTTTCTCCTGTTTGCTTTCATTTTAGACCGAAAAAAAAACTGGAACGGAAAAAGAATGAAAGTTCTAATCCGGAGCAAATGTAATTCGCATTATATCGATTTGAAGCGTGAATTTTCCATTCTTTGTCAGATTTTTTGATTACTTGGATTTATTCACTACCAGATCGTATTCATCAGAAAGATTGTTTTTCTCTTTCTTTAAGGTTTTCTAGATTAGATTCGAAATCGATTCAGCTTTAAATCGGAGAAAATATTTTAATCGGAAAATGACACACATTTTTCCAGCATTGATCTTCCATTGTAAAAAGATGAAAAATTTATTCTATTCTTGTGGAATTCAACCGATCAAATGATTTAGAATTCAACCGATCAATTGATTGAATCATAATTTTGTATTTTTTTCAAATTCCTGATTTATTGGCAGTTTTTTTGGCAAAATATGGTCAAATCCAAATACTCAAATACTTACAGGAAAAATATTAAAAAAAAAAAAATAGATTTGGAGCAACGTTGAAAGCGTTCAAAACGTTCTCACAGCATATAAATTTAGTTAGACGTTTTTTTGCTATCATTTGACACTTTATATGGCAACACTGAACGTTTTCAAACGTCAAACCTGATGAATGAACAATTTAACATATCTGTCAGTGGCATGAAAAATTTGTAAACAAATTTTGTCGTATGCGCTAATTTGGATTTAAAAACAAAACTTAAATGTAATTAAATATTTTTTGATTTTCAAAATATTTGTAAAAAATCCATTAAATAATCCGTTGATTCAAAATTTAAATTTGAATTTCGCTCACACCGTGTCTATATCTTCAAAGGGATCCTTATAATTACCAAAATGTAAGTGCCTATTTTTTGTTTCGAAAATTTTATTTTTAAAATACATAACCATAATTCAATCAAAATTATTGTAAATGTAAGTGAAAAACTAAATTAAGAGATGACAAGTGTCTATAATTGCTCGATGATTCAGAATGGGTTCCTCAAAAACACAAAGTATGGATTTATTGCTCCCGCTTCTATCATTCACACCCAGACACAATCTAGTCGTGAAAAATATTTGTATTATAATGTTACGTGTAGTAACCGCGAAAATAAATAGAGAAGTGGACAAAAGAGAACCTTGAATCTATCGTGAATTGCCAATGAATTTAAAATGTAAGGAGCCGGCACATCAAATTGGCCGTGTGGCCATTCATGAATTTTGGTTTATTTCGATGCAAAGAAGGCATCTATGTGTGTGTGTTTTTGCATCGGTCGGGTAACATGTGAAATAAAAACGCTAGTGGACGGCCACTGATGTGGATGATATTGATCGGTTGTGCGAGAGACGAGATGTGTAATGTATAGGGAATGAGTGCCAATTCTTGTGTACAACGTATATACACATGTTTGACTTTTCGTTTAATGTTTATCTGTTTTTGGCATGCTTACAATGAAACTGAGTCGAGCATAAAAAGCTAGAATAGATTGCAATTTACAATAAACATGTCAAGTAAATGCCCGCAACCACATACATTCGGTATTGGTGTGTACAAGCAGCTGTGTACATGAGATTCTGCAATACATCAGCAAAAAATACACAGCAGCGATATGTATGGCTATCTATCCACGAGCCGTGATCAGTATCGCATGTGTATAAAATTCGTTCAAATTGCAATGTATAGGGCTCACGGTATCATTTTGCATGGCTCAATGAAACGAGAAGATGTTATTATTATTATAGTCGCTCATAAGCTACTATACAATCGATTCGACATCATAAACACTGCAAAGCGATGAGAAACATAAGTTTATTATATTCAATTGACGCCTTTAGTCCTTCTCACGAACTCACTGCCAACAGTTGCTCACTGCTCGAAGCAAGCAATCGCCAGACTTATGAAAAGCGGTTAGCAGTGATTAATTGAAATTTGCCTTTTTTGAGGGGTTTTCAATTTGAATTTGTGGAACATTTTTTTGTTTTATTTCATCGATTGGAAAATTGATCAAGTGAATAGTGAACAAATTATGGTGGTTTTTTTTTCAAATTAGAAAACACAAATATAAATTCAAGGAGACATACTCAAATTTCGATCGTTTCTTGAAAAAAATCTTCTTTCATCTTCACAATCAAACGCAAAAATAATGTCACTCTTCGAAAGAAAATGATTCGCACTTTCATTTACCGAACGCATTTTTTTTCTTGAGAAAATCCGTCTATTTTTCGACTAAAAGTATTGCATCAAAAGAGAATCGTTTTTGAAGTCAATCTTTCGTTAGTGATTTTACTTCGACGTACCAAATATCTTCATGAAACTTTAATAATAATTACGACCGTGAATTTCATCTCAACGAGAGAGAGAAAAAACAAACAAATATTATTAATGAAACTAATAAGTTTTCAGTGCAAAATATTTACATCGAGATTCTTGTTTCACCGTGCAGCTGCTAGCGACACGCGATCGTTGAAATTATTTCAATTTTCAGTTAATAATGTTTTTGTGTGAATATATTTCGAGGAAAGTTCGTGTAATTTGAGTAATTAAATTCAGACGGCGATTTATGCATAATTGACTTTGATTCCTCATTTGCATTGTGGTATCAATTTGGCAATCAAGCTGCTCAACACGCTTCAATTGCTCAATGAACGTCCAAAGGAGCAAATTAATTCAAAAAAGTAGACACAAAAAGAATCTTCTCCAATTAACGTCGTTTGTGTCGTTTTTTTCATGTAATTTGATCGGAACTCATTTGGTCGCTTTTCAACGAGCAAAAATTAATTAAGAGCAATGATTTCGGTTCGATGCAATATGCGCGCACACCATACTGCATACATGCAGTTTTTGGCACACTCGATCGGAAAATTGGATTGAAATTAGTCGCATGAGCATCATGTACTCCTTTTTCTCTCTCTCTCGTGGTGACGTCTATAAATAAAATCATTGTGCGTTTGAAAATATCGATTGTTTTTACAGCATATGCTCTGTCCCTATATTTTCTCCTACTCATTTGTGGAATTCAATACGCTTTAATAATTGCGTTAACTAGTGCAAGTTTATCATCGTCGTTTATGTTATGATTGATGCTCACTATGCCCATGCAATGTGTAATTGATTGACGAAAATATTCATATTCAGTGGCGAATTTAAAAATAGTCTCGCAGCCAACTTAAACAATCGCTTGTATTGTCAACAAACACAATTTCCTTTTCATAAGAAACACGATCAACAATTTGAGTCTATTTCGTTGAATTCCAACTGTATTCTTTTTGTAATTTAACAAAAAAAAAACATTATAAATAAATTACAATATGTAATTAAAATAGGACGTGTAATGACGAAACAATAAAACGAAGAGGTGTTTTATTCAAAAACAAAAATTCTATCCCACGTTGCCACGTGACTGTATGTCAAAAAGATTCACTGAAGAGATGTAATTATGTCAGATAATCCCACGGAAAATGGTAAAATAAACTTCCGTTTTTTTTTGTCTGTCTTGAGAAACAAACCAAAAAAGTGCTCACTTTCTTCTAGATTTCACAACAAAAGCAACAATGACGAAAATGCATGATGAATCGCATAAAAATAACGCCAATAAAACGCCAAAACAATTGGTAACATCAATAGCGAAACGTCGTTGGAAAATTTTAGCAAAGGCACTATGTAATCGTCCAAATTCATCATCGTTCGATGAATTCGATGCTGAAAATAATTTACCAGCCACAAATCAAACAAATCTGACAACATCAGACGATTATTTGGCATCATCCGTACGGCGATTTACATGCTTTCGTTTATTTCAACGAAATCCATGCATTATACAAGATGATATCGACAATGAAAATTGGTTTGTTTATCAAACAACTGTCGATGATCGTGAATATTCGGTGGTCGTTCATGAGCTGTGCCAAAAATTTACGCCCGAAAATCTAATCGGTTATAATAATACGGGCAATATATGTATTTGGCCATCTGAAGAAGCGCTTGCATACCATGTTCTACATCATTTGTCCGCATTCCATCAGCTTCGTGTATTGGAACTTGGCGGCGGTATGACATGTTTGGCTGGTTTATTTATAGCCAAATATACACAAGCCAATTTTGTACATTTAACCGATGGCAACGATCTATCCATACAAAATGCAAATCGAATGCTCGCACAAAATACGGCTAATAATTCAACGACAAAAATCATGTGCTCGGTATTGAAATGGGAGAATATTGAGAATGTTCACGATGACGCTCAATATGATTGTATCATTTCGGCTGATTGTTTATTCTTCGATTCGGCAAGGTCATCATTCATAAATGCATTGTGGCTATTTATGAGACCAACAGGTATTGCATTAGTCATGGCACCATGTCGAGGCGATACGCTCAATATTTTTTTACAAGAAGCCGCACAAAAGGGATTCAATTGTCATGTACGAAAATGCTACAATCGTACCATTTGGCAAAAACACTTGGAATTACTGGACACAAACGTTTATGATGAAAATATTCATTATCCAATTTTAATTGAAGTTCGAAAACAATCAAAACAACATCGTGTTTCCATCATTCCTTTTACATAAAAAAAAACATATTATTCCTCGGACCGTTTCATCTTATTTTTCTTTGACAGTTTTTAGCATTCCTGTTGATGGTAGTTCAAATTACATTACAAATTTTAGATTTTGTTTTAAATTGTATATATGCTAAGATCTGAATAAATATCGATTCTTTTTCTCTGAAGCAATAATAAAATAGATTTTGTTTGTCTGTAATAGAAATACCATTTTAAACAGAATTTTAAAAAATTTACTAAAAATTTAATTTATATTTATTTCATTTATAGGACGGACTACTGGAAATCACAAGACCGTAAATACTGCGATTATTGCAATTGCTGGATAGCAGATAATAAAGCTGTAAGCCAATTTATTTATATATTTTATTTTTGCCGAAAGTACTTAACCCAATTTGACTTCTTTTTTTCCTTCAGAGTGTATCATTTCATGAGGGTGGTAAACGGCACAAGGCAAATGTTGCCAAAAAACTTCAAGATATTGGCAAAAAGAGTCAAAAAGATGAGAAAGCCCGACAAAAAGTCGATTTACAAATGCGTCAAATGGAAGAAGCCGCCTTAAAAGCCTACGCACAAGACATAAGTCGTGGTGCCGATATAACAACGCAAGAACTAAATGCTGTTGCTGCGGCCGCTGCAGCAGACTATGAAGATGAGGCGGCAATGACAACAAAACGACTAGCACCCGGACCATCAGCAATACCAACACGTGCCATAGATCCATTGAGATTACCAATTGATGTCCTTGAAGATGAAGAACGGGCAAAACGTGCCAAAATGAAACGCAAGGCTAATGGAACACTGGGCAGCGAAGCAAAAGACCAATCAATGTGGGTCGAAGCCAAAAGCGACGAAGGACATACTTACTATTGGAATGTCAAAAGTGGAGGTAATGACATTATAATCACACCAATATTCTTAAATCGTCAAATTATTATTTTTTTAATTGCTCTTCCCATATAGAAAGCATTTGGGAGGCGCCAAAAGAAGGTTACATGACTATCGAGGAATATAATCGACTAAGTCTTGTGCATGACGCAAGAGCTCAACAACAATTGAACGAAGAATCAAAGTACATGCGTGAGAATGCTGACGAACTCGTTTCGAAATATCGACGGCAACAGTTAACAATTTTTCGTGAGAAAGATCGTCAAGAAGAGGCCAAAGAGAAAGACGAAGAACGAGAAAGTTACACTGCATGCTCCGAAATTGAAGATGCTGAAACCGAAGCTCCAGCATTGGGCAAATGGCAAACTGTTGTTAGGAAGTATGATATCGATTTATATTCAAACTACAAATCATTATTAAACGAATTTTGTAAATTAAAAATTAATTTTGTAAAACTAACAAAATAAATCCAATTTCAGGGTAGAAAAAGTCATTGACTTACAGTTACCGACAACAACAAACAAAGACTATGGATACATTGCACCTGTTGCTACATCAACAACGACCACAACAATCGAACTAGAACCACCACAGCGGGTATTCAAAGAAAAAACAATCCAAAGTCTTGCAGACGCAGATTGTAATGTTTCAGATACATTTAAAAAGCGAAAATTTGGTGGAAACAAAAGGAATGTACGGCAACGATTAAATGATGACGATTAATTATCGAATGGAGATCAATTGTACAATAATGGCATGAGCAAACAAATACATTTTGAAAAATCAGAAACCTTTAAATAAAAGCAGCATTTTTAAAATTTGAAAAAAATACCGACTTTTTTTCTTGAAAAATATTATTATTTTTTACTAGTTTACTAGAAGCTATAGTATACTAAAAGAATATTTGATAAATTCACTAAATTCACGGAAAAAAAATACACTAAAAGTACTTGGCGACAATAGACAACTATGGAATGCTCTCCTGACAATTCGATCTCAACTGCAATCAATACACTGATAACAATATGCCGGTACACCAATACACGTGTGCCGGCATATTGTTGTCAGTGTAACTATTGATTGCAGTTGAGATTTAATTGTCAAGAAAGCATTTAATGGTTGTCTAGTTGTCAATACAAAATAAAAAAAAAAAAACAATCGGCATGAGAACGCATTTTTCGTAAGTCACACGTAACCTATCTTTTGAGCAATAAGCATCTCAATAGCAAGTTGTTCGTATAAACCATTGCTTCAAAATAAAATTTGACCAACACCTAATAAATTTGAAGTTATGGAGGTGAAAGATAATAATAAAATGTTCATAAAATGTGAAATTAAACAAGAACTCATGGACGAAACTTATTCGAGTGAACATGTATTTGGTGATACAGTTTACATCAAATCCGAAATGAAAGAAAATTTTGATTATGAACGCTACACGAATGAAAAGAGAGAACATGCTGACATTGAAATCGCTCACATACTGCTCAGCTTTGCATCAAAGCCTTTAATAAAGCCAACAACTCAGTTTGAAAGGATAGACACAAAAGCTAATGATATTCGTATCATTAAACACAAACTCGACCAAGAAAATAATGATAGATTTAGAGCCATTCCCAACAACGAGAATCAACAATACGACAGTGACATCGTTAAAAGCATCCACAACTTAGAATCTGGTTGTATAAGGCAACCAGCTCAGTTTGGAATGACCAGCGCAAAAGATAATATAAATGATTATACATTTGATGCAATTCCCAACAAGTGGAATGAACAAGACGACAGTGACATCATTAAAAGCACCCCCAACTTAGCATGTAGTATAAAAAGGCGGCCAACTCGTTTTCTCAGAAGAATCAACAACGAACTTTCAGCCGAAAAACCGGGAAGCGTGAGTGTTACATTTTTTGAATATTTTTTATTATTTTCATTCTTTTTCTTCCTTTTTTACAGATATTTTCTGAGTTTTATGAGTCTTTCGGCATAGACTTGGCCTTTCTGAGTAAATTGACTCCAAGTTTAGATTTGTTTCCGAAACAAAATATCTCCCATTTGTCAACCGTGGAGAAATGTGATTTAATGGACAATGAATATCTAAAATATTATGAACAACCAAATGACGCGGAATTAGAATGTGATGATACAATGTTGCGTCTGGTGAGTGATGGGAAGATCACCGAGGAAGAAATGCTTACGCTTGCTGTTAGTCGAGATAAAGAAATATATGTTGATATCCTAATCGAGCAAGATATATACATTCTTAAAGAAATTAACGACAGGATGACGAAAAAAATGATGATGCTGCGATGGGAGGTGGAACAATGTTTGCGCTGTACGGATGGAACAGAAATTCCAGATTGGGATGAACTGTTCCCACATTGGATGCTGAAGAGGTCAGAAGGTGAAGAATCTTCTGATGAAGAAGAAGAATACGACGAAGTGGAAGTCGAAGAGAATGAACAGTTGGAAGGAGAAGAAGGAGAAGACACCGATGAGGCTGAAATCGATATTGGAGAAAATGAACCGATTTCAGCACTTAGTGATTTTCGAAAGAAAAATGTGAAATTATTGGCAGATAATGATGCAATGTATCGAGAAAAAGTGGCTTCGCGGAAAGATTTCGATATGGATTTGAATGAAAGTGGTGAATTTGTCGAAAAAAAAGAAGAAGAGGAATCCGATCTCGAATTGATTGAAGAAGAAAAAAGAGTAGAAAAAATTCTACAATTACAACATTTACATGAACGAAACGAGCGTTTGTCTCGAGCTATGCGTGTGCAATTTTCAGAAAATGCTATTTTTCGGCTTAGAAATAATAAATTTTAATTAATATTTATCCGATTGCCACTCAATATAAATATTTTAAATATTTCAGACAGTCAATTGAAATAACAAAGAACCACTAATATGAAAATAAGTCCCATTCATTTTTACTGACAAAATTTAATTTCTCAAATTGCGATTCGAAGTTTTTTTTTAATTTTTGTGTTCAAAATTGACAACAGATTGCCTATGTATTTTTTTAAATGTATGTATTCGTAGTTATGATTAATAATAATAGATTTTGACAGTGATTGTCCAGAAGTAATTTTATAAATAAGATCAGTTTCTTTTATCTTTTGGAAAAATGTTATTTTCTTCGGATACTGTTTTTTTTTATCGCTTGAATCAAACCTATTAAAATTGTGCTGTAAATTGTGACGATGTATGTACCTTTTGGCTATTGTATCATTTTATTTATGTTTTATAGAGAAATTAAATCGCTATTACGACAAAACCTCATCTATGTCCTTTATTTTTCAATAAAGCGAACTGCAAACAATCGAAAACGTTCAATCTGAATATTAATGTCAACAGACGTATAGTTTTTTTGCACGTTTCTTCCTTGTCATGATATTGAATCGATGGATTTTTGCTGAATTTATATCGGCTATTTAGTAATGCTGTATAAAAGCAAAATTATTGCATACTGACTCATTTGTTTGTGTCGTCTAAATTCCGATCACAGTTCATAATCATAAACAAACGATATAATGTATACACATTGTGTTTTGCATTGATCAGCAGATTTTGTACATTCATTCTTTTCTTTCGCGCGATGCTGTAAGGAAGTACATCTCACTCTTATCCAAAGCGATCAAATTATCGGCATTGCATCGACCGAACATTTTCTTTAGTTTTGTCACAGTAAGTGGTTCAGTTGTTTGTGTTTATGTACAGCGTCAACCGTTTGAGACTGTCATTGTATTTGTGTGTCATTTGAATATACAGAGTGAAAAACGCGGTAAGCGGCAAATTCATAAGAATGAAACTGTCAAAATCAAAGTCGACCAAATAACATTTCTAGCAATTGCCAGACATAATTAAGCAGAAAAATTAATTTCTTTTTTGCAAAGTGTAAATTGCAAACAAAATACAATGACAACGTTGGAAGAAGAAGTATCAAAGCCAGAGCTAACCCTCGATGAATTGGGCGAAGATTGTTTATTTGAAATATTGAATCGATTGCCGGCAAAAAATTTGTATGCAATGGCTGATACATGTACACAATTTTTGAGTTTGGCGTCAATTCAATATCGACGATTGCATCCAGAAAAGTATATTCGTGTGTCAATAGTCGACGAAAAAATTGAAGTGACACCCAACGAACACGATGTGAAAAAATTCGGATGGAAGTTTCTCAATTTGATCATTTGTGGAGAAGGACGTCATTTTCGGTGGAACGATGGTAGTCTCAATTGTATTTTGAGCGATTGCAGTAAAAATTTGCAAATGATTCGATTCGAAAAGGCAATGTTGAACGGTTTGCATTTGAATGTGTTGAAAATGATGTGCAGTCGCACCGAAACAATTGTTCTACACGAATGTGGCATAAATGATGATATCTACGATTGTTTGCTGAATGCATGTCACAATTTAAAACAACTCATCATCTCCGATTCGTACACCATAATTGATCCGGAATATGGAAGTAAATGGATGCAACAAAAATATCCACTGTTGACATGTGTTCAAATTTGTTCGATGACATTGTTGCCGTTCCAATCAAGACATTGGGAACAATTTTTCCGACAAAATCCGCAAATTCAAAGTTTTGCCTGCGATCATTGGTATTTTTGTTTTTGTTTTTATCTTTCCACTAGGGTAACATCGATGTTAATCGATACATTTTTTGCTAACGTTTCAGGTATTCTATTGACCGCAACGATCGTCCAATTAAGGTGATTAAGGAAAATGCACCGAATCTATCACGATTGTATATTTCATTGCGTGGAATTGGACATTTGAATGGTACCTACTACAAGATAATTGCATATTTTTATTGATCCTTTTTCGATTATTTTAAATTAATTGTATTTGTTTCTTTTGGGATTCTCCCCATAGGTACTTACTACGATTTGAACGAGCTATGCAAGAGCGAACATCTGAAGGACCTTGAATTACAGTTCACCGGCACGACAGGCATGCAGTATTTGATGCGCCATTCAAAAATACTTGGTACAATGGAACGATTAAGCACTCTTCATCTGAGTAATATAATCCTATCGAAAGAGTTTGTGCCAGCCATCACCGCGCTAACAAAATTGAAGCGATTGAACTTTGTTTCGACCACTTTTACCACTGAAGTTGCTGAATTTCTTTCGAAAGGATTGCCAAACTTGGAAGAAGTTTACTGTGATGTGTTGAACGATATTACATCATTCGTAATACACGCACCAAATCTCAGGAAGATTGAATTGACCAACACAGAAATGGCTGAACTTCATTTGGGATGGGGATTACTTTTCTTGGATCAAGAACGAACAAAAATTCACAATGCATGCCCAATTATCATTTACATCAAACGAATTTCGGAAGAAAATAATGAAAATCCGATGCTTTCAAGCGGACTCATTACAATCAAACCAATACCGCAGGACAAACGCATACTGTCAAAAGTAGAAAATACTTTCCTGAATGTTTAGAAAAATTCATCATTCCATCGATTTTTTTATATTGATTTTCGAATAGTAGAATTAGTTCATCAATACATAGGCCACAATTTATGATTGTTTTACATGTAAAAACCGAAACTGATTTGAAATTCGAATTAAAAACCGACTTTGCTACGAATCATTTTCTCATTATATTTTTATTCGAAACTGGTCATTTTTGGTCATTTAGGTTTTTTTCTGCTCCAATGAACGCAAAACTTAAATGTCAAATTATAGTTTGATTTATTGTAAAAGTTGTCGATTTTGACGTCATCGGCATAATTGAGGTAATGACAAGACCTTGTATAGGTATTCATTAATTAGGTAAGGAAAAGTAGTGAATTTTGGTTGGTTATTTTTGATCATATAATTTTCACCAATTACCCCTCTGTTGTATTTTTCTTTAATTCGCTTCAAGTTCGTCTGCAAAAGATGCAATCAAAAGAAAATTAACAAATCTCATCAAATAAATGTCATTTTTATTTGTTGTTTCAATTGGATTTTGATTTGATTCTTACATAATTTCGAGTTCATTCAACCGAAAGCATTTTTTTTAAGAAAAATTGACGAAATTAATTTAAACTGACGGAACAAATCAAACGCATAATTATTTGGTTTTTCCTAAAAATAAAATTCGAAATGAGTATAATATTATTTATCAAAATAAAATAGATTTTTTCTAATTAGATGAATAACGCATCATATAAGCGCTCGAAATTTTTGATTTATAACAAAAAACGTATATTTTCTTTGAATTTTGCTATATTTTGATTAAAACTACAACAAACATGCAATAAAATTATCTTTCGCAATCGCATTTTTGGTTGGCAACAAAATGGTTCTCAATAACGCAAGTGTCAATTTAAAGCAAAATGAATATGTGCGAAGCCAGCTCCGATATTTTGGTAAAAAAGTAAATTTCAATGGTTTTCGTCACACTCTTTCACTTATTTCAAAAAATGATGTAAGTTAATTAGTCAAAGCATTTTTTTTACCACACAAAGAAAAAACTTAACAGTTTTTGGAAGGCAATCAAATGAGAAATTCAAAAATTACACAAAAATTCAAATCATCTAACAAATCTTATTTGAGTTGACTCGAGTTGGTCGTTATAATTTTTGGTATCTAATATAATTTAAGAATTTTTTTCTTGAATATTTTTTTTTTGGTTGGTTGTAACAAGCGTTTATATTAATCCCTTAGTTTATTTGCATTTTATTTATTAATCATTTATCGTAATAAATATAATTTTTATCGTAATTTGCTTTTTTTTTATTATAATTTAATGTTAAGTCGATAATTGGACGAGGAGGTGTGATGTATCAATTTCTATAGCTAGAAAGGCGCCGTACAAATTTAAATCATGCAAATTGTTTTATCTTTATTATTTGCTTTTTTAAATTCTAGCTGGAAAAATTGAGCTACCAACGCACCTCAAGCCAACATACAATGCCTGTGATAATAGTATTATTAAATTCAGATAAATATTTAGCATTAGAATGCTCTTAATTTAACTCGAAAGTCATTGAAAATACATTTTCTTTATTACGTACGCATTTTCAGCCAAATCACCTTGCCGGCCATATAGCTTTATCGAAAGCATTAAATGTTGCTTTCATATTTGAGAACAAAAAAAAAATTCATTGGGAATTGATCTAAACATTTGTTCATATTGAATATATAAGCCTAAAGTCTCTCTCATTTAATATTGCGTGTCAAGTTTGAAATAAAAAAAAAACACCTTGCACATTAGAACATTCGTCAAAAATTTGAACGGGTACAAAATGGCCTTTTTGGATATGATTGGAATGAATTCAATAGACCCACAACTTTTCATCCAAGTCAAAAAGGCGAGGAGAAGGAAGAGGATATTTAAATTGTGATTAAGATTTGAAAAAACTGTTTGAGTAAATAATCGAGATAGAAAAAGAAGAGGCAAGAATAAAAACAAAGCGGTAAAGGTAAATCTCGATACAATGGTTGTAATTTGAATAAAATTCGAAAAACTCTGATTGAAATAAATTCGAAATGGATTTTTTTATATTTTACTTATTTTCTAATCAGTTTTTGTTTGGTTTCAGCTCATTTTGTATGTGTGTTATGCATTCGTAATTTACAGGTTTTGCTGTACAGATTATGATTATTATTGATTATAAATATCTGAACGCGAGCGACGGGATAAAATTGATTGTGTATGTTGACAGAATATTACATATTTGGCCCAATTTATTTGGTTTGCATAGTTATTGAGCGAGAGATTTGAAGAGACTCACATTTTAAATCACATATTTGTGTGGGGGGAGATTTAACTGTGGATTAGTTGACTTTATTTTGTTTCAATCTACAAAAAAACGATTATTATTGTTATTGAAAACCTATTTGTTTTCGCAATGAGGTTTCATGCTGTCTTTTTTCTATCCAATGCAATGAATTCAATTTAAATTTCATTTATTTGCCGCATTTGATTTGGCTTTTTGAATATACCATCAAAACTGAGCCGCTATCGCCACATCATTGCCATTTGTTATTATTATTATTATTCCCGTAATCAACGACATTTTGCATAGTTCTCGTCTTCATAATTTAATCTCATTTGATTAAAAGTTCGTACCACAAATATTATTACAATGTAACCTGATTTAATAAGTGTAACGGATGTGTTTCGCGCTTATAATTCAAGGCTGTTCGAGTTTATGTTCGGGTCGTGCGACTAACACACTTATAACACACTATTTTTTTTTATTTCCTTATGTAAATGTAACGACGATTATTTGGATATGCTTTTCCTGCAGTTTGAGCTCATTTTGTCATCTATATAAATTTGTGAATGTAGGTCATTTCATTTTTTATCTCTTTAAATTCTTCTGTAACAATATACGATCGATATATATATATATATAGAATGTTCGATTTGTGCCGCTTTCCATGGCAATTACTCAATCAATGTGCTTTGATCTATTTCTAAGCAGTCAATGGTAACAATATTGATTTTGTCCGATTCCGGTAATTTGATACGATCGGTTTCGCCATGATTTGGCATCATAATGCATATGAATGGTTGGCCTGTCGATGAATCGCGTGGATGTAACGTAACCGGCATAAAACGATCCGTTGTACCCTCGACAAATGAATTAAGCCGCTGAAATATTTCCGGATAATGTTTACGCAGGCTAACACCACGTTTTTTCAATGCCAATTGCATATTTTGTAGAACGAGTTCACGATTTTTTGGTGTATTTTGTGTTTTATCGCACATATTAAATGTTAGAATAAGAACATCGGTATAAACACGTGTTGGTTCAGCTATACCAATTGTGGCCAACGGATCCGATATGGAATTCGATGTATTTGATGTTGTTCTTTGATGACCTGTATTTGCCATTGTATTTGCACTATTATTGGCTATCAAATCTATCGGTAATGTTTTGCTTAGCTTTAGTTTGGCACATCGCGATACGAGTTGACGTTCCCATTTGACCGATGTCGATGATGCACTGCTTGGTGCTTCAGATACAACACATATTGCAACATAAATTAACATTTTTGAATCGGGTTTGTATTCGGTGCTCAATCGAAGTAATTCCGAATATAGTTCAGCGCCCATTTCTTGTGGCATCAACTCTGGCCATCGTACATAAGACGCCTCACCAATTCGTTGAAAACCCTGTTTAACAAATACTTCAGCACTCTCTGGACTACGAAATAATATGCGAACAACACCACGGCCCTGTGTTAAATAGCCTCGTCGAGCCAAAATCGATAAGTGGGATAGGGTATCATTATCATCTTTACAAGCTGACAACACTTGACGGCACAACACCGACACACGTGAATGAAGGCAAGCTTTGCGATGCTTTTCCCAATGTGCACGTCGACAATCACGTGAACAATACATTTGAGTACCTGCGAATCAAAAAAGAACATATTAAATTGTGCACACGAATATATCACACTAGATTTGTATGAAAATATAATGCGCTTACAATTGTGACAACTCTTATAATTTCGTTTGGCATCAGCTGCATTGGCGGCTGCATCACATTTTGGATTTCGACATTTTATCATTTCTGCTGATGAAATGGCAGCGGTGGTGGCTGATTTTGATTCCGTTGAATCGAGGCTAACACGACGTAGTTGAGCGGTTAAATCATTATTGTCAGGAGCTGTTGAATCGGGACGTTTTGCGGCATCACTTTCGCTACGACGACGCAACGGTTGCGCTTCGATTGTTAAACGGCAGCTATCATTGATTACGTTTGTATCTCCTGCAGCAGAAATGAGCAATTTTGTCCAAAACGAGAAAAAAAAGAGAGCGAGAGAGAGAGAAAAGAGAGCAGAAAAAACCATACACACAAAGAAATAGGTCAAAAACATTGTGTTAATTAGTTGCCAGTTGCATGAAACATAAGCATCATTATGAGCGATGAAATATTTACATGTTTCTTTTTTTTCGTATTTATTATAAAAAGCTAAAAATCAAACGAAAGCTTTGTCGATTTGTGCGCAGTTCTAGCATAGCCTTAGGAGGAATGACTTTTTATTTTAACAATTTAAACTGTAGAGTGAATGCATCATGATATGAGAGAGAGAAAAAATCATGTAATTTTAAAAAAATGATGAACAAAAAATATCAAATATTGAATATTTTGAAATCAAGCAAAACAGACAAACAAATGCACGAATACAAATGAAGCAGAAACGAATATTGGTGTGTTGAATGTGTGTATTTCTTTTTTCTTGATTCGTTTCTATTGTATTTGAAATGATATAAAAAATATATTAGACAGAAATAAAATGAACAAAAACAAAACAACAAAACTTACAGGTTCATACCTGAGGACGACCTGTACTCTGACGGTAAGCCCAATAAAGATGCTAAAACATCTTCTAATGTTGCTGAACCTCTGTGCGAAGGCCGATCATTTTGAATGGATAGTACTGGTAATGGTGACTCTAAATTCAATTCAGTAAGCAGGAGAATTTTGTTTGTTTTTTTTTTTACTTTGAATCTCTCGTTTCGATTTTTTTTTTTGGTTATGGATGTTAATGTGGTGGCAGTGTATTTTTGTGTGTTAAAATTAAATGTATTTCAATTTCTTTTCGAGTGACGATTTATGGGAAGCAAAATATAGCAAGATATTGGAAGAATGCCAAAAAATAACAATTTCAATATTATCCATGATTTTGGCATTGCTGCAATATCTTTAATGGAAGATGGAAGTTTGAATGTACATATAAGTAGGCTGAATGAAAAATGGCATTTGAGCATGTGGTTCAATTAATAGAAGCTTTGTGTATGTAGCGTAGCATAGTATACTTATTTGGGCTTTACAATTCCAATTTCAGATGGAATACTTACTTGAACGAAACGAAATAAAAAATCAACCGAAGAAATCAATATAAAACAAACAAACAAAAATAAGCCGATAAAATTAAAATTAAATAGGGACATTGTATTGTTTTTTTTTTTATTAAAATGATTATAATTTCTTAAATTTAACAAAATTAGTTCGATATAAACAAAAAAATAAATTGAAACTAAACTGAAAAAAAATAATGCCTAAGCTAAAAAGGAGTTTTGATTATATATAATAATTCCATTTTGGAGTCTCATTGATTTTTTACTTTGTTGCGTAAAACTAAAAACAAAATCTAAACCAATTAAAAAAAAAAGCATAACATTTTTTCGTTGCACCCATAAAATGAGCAAAATGAGCTGGATAAAATTGTATGAATAGGTTTTAAATTTTTTCGAGATGCATAAAATATGAGTGAATTACGGGCAGGTGTATTTTAATTGTTTCAAATCACTTGGTCGAATGGAGATTGCATGTGTATGAGCAAAAATTAAACAAAAAAAATAATGAGAAATAAAGCCCAATGTTTTAATAGAAGATATCTAAAATTGATTGGGTTTTTTTTCGGCTGTTGTTGCAATTGAATTGATGGTGCTGATAGATGGAAACAGAATTCGATTCGGTATTGATTTGGATTCCGGGTTATTGATTATTTATGGTCCGGTATTTATTGGGTATTTTTTTTACCATCGAAATCATAACCAACCCTGTTTGTTAAAGACTCCAAAGAGGGAGGTGATTTAAGTAAACGCCATCAAGTGGTCATCAACTTCGTGCAGCTGATTTGACTCGATTGCGTGGTGCATGGTGTTGATTGCATTGTGCCAGAAATGTTCGCTATGTGTGGTTGAACAACCAAGTGATTGCATTCTAAATTGTTTCAAGCAGATTTCACCATTCAGTTCATAGTCGTTGTTTCGTATATGCAGGATATATATTTATTTCTTTTCGCCCAAATTTTTAAAAATATATATATATAAATTATAACATATATCATATTATTCGAATGAAATTATAAAATTTTAAATAGACTCCTTAAGACAGCATGTAATTTATATATATTATGTAAGTGTGTGTGTATATATGTGTGTGTATGTATTTGCACTGTGATCATGATGTCAATATTTTGTACAGGATGAAATTTTCAAGAGCTCAATTGAAATTATACTACTTCTAGTAACACAGACTCTATGTCCACGCTAAAACTGATAAATCGTTCTGACGATTACACTTTCACTTGTTAAATCTTAATGTTGACCTAATTACAAGTGTCAGTCTTTATCATTTTTAGATAGAAAGTCTATGATACTACCGAGAAAATAATTGCGAGAGAAACAAAAATTAAAAAAATTAAAGCATAAGAAAATGTTCATGATATTTCTACTAAATAAATCCATAATATATGTCAATATAATGAAGTCTTAATTAAATCATTGTCTATTCATCTAAAGCTCGTAGATTTCTGTGCCAAAGTGTGAGTTTTATGTGTGGCGCGCGTGTGTGTACGTGTGTGATTACAAAATCAAAAAAAAAGACAAGAAAAATTTAGTGCTGTTGTTCAAAGGATAGAAGGAGAACGAATAAACATAATGAACATTTTCTATCAGTTCAATTGAAGATAAACAAAAATGTTCCCTAACCAAAATTGCGGTATTTCATCGAACCTCATCGCAATATCATTCATTTTGTTCGATCGTTCGGTCGATTAATAATCATAAATCAAATTTACTTTGGACAAACAAAACGTTTACATTATTTAAAAATCATTCTGTAAATCAAGCATAAGCTAGAAATCAATTAATATCTCATTTCAATTATCGTAAAAGAATAATTATTCGTTTTTCGTTCGTAAACATTTAAAAATACGAATTGTTTTTGTTGGTGCTATTGTGAATAAATGAAATTAAAACGAAACAAACAAGAAAAACAACAGATACTGTTCATTGTCGTAAAATGTTTAAAATAATAAAAAAAAAAATGAAGAAAATATGTTCAGCGAGCAAAAAACGGGTTTTCTGGTTTATTTTGGATGGATTTGCGTGTATTGCTTGTCTAGAGTAGACGCGACTCACCAACACCATTGACACGGGAAGATGTGGCTGACAGGCCAATCGAACTATCCAAAACCGGTGTCTGCGGTGAATCCATCGGTTTATTACCAACAAATGAACTCTCCAACCAGCAGTGTCTAAATTAACCAAACAAAAATAACGAAATTAGTAAATATGTTGTTTTGATTAAAAAACGGTTTCATCTCACCGAGACGAGGGACTGGCCGATCGACTTCTTGAATTGCCCGATGTCGTTCGATTATTTGTATCGTTGACATAATGCACAATAGCTGATGTAACTTCTTTGATTGACGTTTGAATTTCAGGTGAAACAGCTGGCTCTGTGGCAGTTTTAGCACTTAACGCATTCGTATTGTTTGACTGGGTTTGTGGTTGCTGTTTAGTTTGTTGACGACTTAACATCGACGATGCAAGGCTACAAGAAGAAAAACCAGCACAATTTAAAATCCATTTAATAATTAAACATTTATAAATATGCATTTTATTTGATTTTTAAAATTAAAAACTTGTCAATTTATGCAACATACCGTTCGTGAGGCGTTCGTGGTTGTGATAATTTCTCTTGGCTTCTCCATCCGAGATATGGTTGCCTGAATGAGCCACGTATCGAATTATTTGCATACGATTGATTCGATAAAATGCTTGAATTTGGTCCGCCACGTGAGAATGAGCCACGTGTCGAAGCACTTGGTGATGTTTGACTGGAATTTAGATGCGATGTTGACCAACGCGAAAAACCTGTATGGCCACCGTGATGACTTTGTGCTGATGGGCTTAACAATAATGGGCTACGATCAGATCGATGCGATCCTAATGAGCTGAGTGATGTGGTTTTTGAACTAAGGCCAGTCCATCGTTGCGTATCAGCGTTGCGTTTTTTGGTAAAACTGCCCGGCACATAGCCACCGGTATTTTCACCAGTTTTTGTAGCTGTACTGTACTGTTTGAACCAATCGGGAATGTGCAAGCGTTGTAATGAGGCTTGCACACGCAATTGATGCTCACTGTAATTTGTATTGGTGTCGTGCGATTTTTGGAGCTCATTTTCTGGCGGCTGTAAATAAATAAAGACAATCTCATTAATATCGATTGAAATTTAAAAAAAAAAAACAAATTCTCTTTTTTATGCATTTAAGAAATAAAATTTTTCCAACAAAACAAAAAAAATTCACAAAAGGAAACAATGAAGATTCGTAGTTTTGAATAGTTAATACCTGAGCAATATATGCTTCTTTTAATGCTGTATAAAGCAGTTCTTCGGCTGACATAGAATTCTTTTCGAAATCAGTCAGCACATTTTGGCCAATTGCATTCAATACTTCGGTACATTTGTACGAGTAATCACGAAGGCGTGTTAGAAATTTTTTGAACAATTTCAAATTCATTAAATTTAATTTTTTCTCATCCAAATCGTACGCTTTTTTAACAATCGATTGAAGTCGTCGTAAAACATATTGTGTTTGTACATATGTTCGAACGGCTTTAAGTTTTTCATGCGGATCAAGTTGACACTCGTTTGAATCGTCTTCAAAATGTGCATCTGCTTGAATTTTCATTTGATTTTCGCCATTGCAATTGTTGCCTGATGTTTCATGCTTTCCGAATCGAATTGATGACGTATCGAGTACGCTTTGATCATGGTCTTTTTTATCTTTAAAAAAACTTTCGAAAAAATCGCAATTTTTCTTGAAATTACGTTTGGATTGTGTGCAACGAAATTGATATTCATCATCATCGGATGTCGATTTAGTGCTCGATTGAGTGGATGGTGATGCCGATGAACTTCGATCTAATGTCGTGCCATCGTTGAAAAATGCAACTTTATTCCGAACATGTCCTCTGTTTACCACATCAAATGGCTTTTTAAACGTTGTATCACTGTCGCTGTCATGCAATGACGCGGTAGAAGATGTTGAAAACGAACTGACTGGTCGAATTGGTGTGCAGTGCGACTGTGATTTCATTGGGTTTTTGCCAACATTTTTATTTATCGATTGAGTTCCATTAAACTGTTGAATTTTATTCAAAATTGTTTTGCTCTTATTTTGAACGTCTTTTATTTCTTGGTGTTGTAATTGTTTTTTCTTTGGCTTTGTGTCATTTACGAGAAGTTTTTCAAAATTGCATGCGATATTTTCTCTTTCATTTGACATACGAATATTTGGCATAGTTATGTTTGACGAATCGTTATTCGACGGTTCAGAATCATCGTCGCTAAGCATTAGGTCATCGGTGGTTACGTCTTGATCAAAGTATGCGAAAATTTGTTCGAAATCGCTATTAATTGTTGTGCATGTATCGTTGAAAGATGACAAATAGCTTTCGTTTGTCGCCGAAAATGATGCATTCGCCATACTTTCATCGTGCCCCCCATTGTTGGTGCGATTGTATGTTTCGATATCGTTTAGTGCTGGTACACTTTGAGCCGCTTTTACTTTTCGATGTGCCGACTTTTTTGCCGAACGTCTTGATTTTTTCAACGGTTTCGACAACAAGTGCTCAATTATCATATCAAAATCACCGCAATCGAGTGCACTAATATCACTGACAATCGATGTATCCATATCAAAACCGTAATTTGATGCCATTTTTCTTTTTAAGTCTATTATTATATTACTTGAAATTTAATTGATGTAACTAAGTGTTTCAATGATATTGTGTATGCAACGAAATTTGTTTTTAAAAAACTTCAACAGAAAAATTTGCTCGGCTAGAACGAGAAACAAATGTACTTGTTTGATGAAGCGTTTGTGTACGAACCGTTTTGTCGGACAATTTCAACTCGAATGGCAAAGTGTGTGTATGATTTGTGCACACCAACATCGAGGGTGCACATCGTGCCAAAGTCATAATAACTGTTTATTTTTCTACTGTGTGAGGCGACACTCATTCCAGTTTTTGAAGAAGAAAAAAAAAGTCCCACCAACCGTCTGAATGACAACGAGTGCTAATGCGTTGATTGCGGACAATAGAAATTCAGACCTGTGCAAACATGTTCATTTGCTTGTAAATTTGCATGTAAAAACAATGGACATGAAATGAGACCGAAAAATATCGCAAAGAGAAAAGATACACGAACGGAATTTTTTTTTTTGATATCTTTTCTTTCTTCTCTTTGCTCTTGTATCTCTTCGCCTACTCGCTCACTCACTCACTTTGCATCTCAACACACTGACATTGTGAACAATATTCTCAACTAGCACATTGTATTCATTGCTACTCTTCCTTTCAAACGCAGTCTGTCACTGTGTTAGCAGTAACTGCTTGAATACGGTTTGAATGATTTAGTAGCAAACATGAGTAGCAACATCACAAAGAGAGAGAGAGATGTGCGTTGTGTTGTGTGAAACAGCGACAAAAGTGTACATGTAATGCGAAAATGCGGAAGACAAGACTGTATTAAGATAGAGATAAAAAAGTGGCAAAACTAGAATTGAGACATTGGTACAAGAGGGATAAAGTAGTGGTGTCGACGGCTTAACATACATCGTCGCAAGTCAAATAGTGTTTGTGTAGATTATGGAGCATAAAATAAGAAAACAAAACATAAAATGCCAAGATTAAGTCAAATACACAAATGCGGCGTATAATGAGAAATTGTGATACACACCGAAACGCACACATCTTGTGTTTGTGCATGAGATGTCATGTATATGAAATGCCATAATTACATATTGATTGCTGTTGCCTTTGTCCTATAACCTTTATGGCTCCGGTTACTTTACGAGGCTTATTTGACCATTTTTTTTTATTCGTCCAATTTTCCAAGAAAAATGATGACAAAATATTTGCATTATTATCCTTATTTGTGCGGCACATGTGAATCCCCCGACTGAATAACTCTCGGCTCAGGGGTCTCTTGTCATTGTAAAATGTGACACATCAGAATGGCATTCAATCCAGGTATGAAAAATGCTTTTAAATGCACACCACATCTTGTGTTTCGTGTGTTGTGAATCTGCGCATCGATATATAGACCATTTGCATATAAATATAAATGGCTTCTAAATATTTTACTTTCATCACGACATCACTCGTTCGATGAGAGTGAGAAAAAAAAAACGTGGAAAAGATGGGAAAGAGATTGGGGAAAAATTGCATCGTTGACATTCATCACATCGTAATAAGAATATTCTCTGGTAAAAAAATATCGCAAATTAAATTCACAACTGAAAAAGGGTAGAGCAACACTTTAAACGATGGTTTACAAGCTGCTCTTGCGACTAATTACATGCATAATTGAATGTTTTTTTTACGGTATGCGTTTTGTTCGGCTGGCGCCTCGAATAACGTCTCTTTGCTAACGATGAAAAAGGCTTTAATGACAAAACCGAGCAGTCACAGTAAATTCAAAGGCAAATTGCAGCAGCATCAAAAGCAACCGTACCATATTTCGATTTGGTCGTTTTTTTTATGCAGTATTTACGATGGATAAAAGGTTTTGCTTTTGATGATAATTGCACAATGTACACTCTTTGTTAGGGCTCTCAGTTGAGAACACTCTCATCATTCATGAAGATCTCGTTTTTTCTCACCCTCGTTCTATCATTCAACGCGATGTGATTTACAATTACAACAAAATAAACACAAAGTTGTCATTTCGTGTGTCAAACAAATCGAAGTTTTGTGAATAGTTGGAGACTAGGTTTGCTTGTAAGTGCGATGACGGGTTTTTTTTCTGTGAATTTCTACAGTCCATTTTAAGCACATTGAACCGAGCCAATACTACGTACCATAAAAAAACGCATGCATATCGCGCGTATTCAGTTTGTAGCTATCGCTCTAGAATAATCAATACGAACAGAGTGAAAAACGTACATACATTCGTCATCGCATTGTATATGTATATATGGCTGTAACAGAAGCTCAAACGATTTCGATAGAAAATATGGATAACAATGAACATCTTTTCGTGTTCATTTTTGAAATTAAAAACAAAAAAAACGAAAGAGAAAACTAAAACACCAAACAGCAAAGAAAAAAACAACACATCGGCACAGAGAAGAAAAGAAAACAAACGAAAATACAATGTTGTAAGATTCTATCAAAAGATGAAAGTTTTTTGTTTGAAAAATCTTACTTTTAACTTGTAATTGTCGTCGTCCAATTGAAACATGTTTGACGTTGACTATGATTCCGTTTTGCGATTCGTAATGTAACAAATGGCTTTTGCCTGAATATATATAGATGTATTTATGTTACAACTGATTACGTAAATGCACTAGATGCCAGCTTTCTGGGCTGCAACATTGAAATAACCGAAATAATAATTGCTTGTCATAAGACCTGAGAGCACTCTTTTTATTTATGCACTTTCAATTTCCATCACACCGTATATTTTCCACCTTTTTTCCCCCGCACTTACATTTTCACCATCGCTATAATGTTCAAGTCGACACTTTGAAATATTGTGTCATACTTTTTTTATCGTTCTCTCTGTTGTATCTGTGCAATTTTGTTGTTTATCATTCGAATCTATACGTATATCATTGATTTTTATTTTGCGAATGGTTTTGAGGTCGTTCGTTGATTGGCCCACTAACACAACGTCATTTTCAATTTCACTCGGACTATTGTTGAGCCATGGAGAATATCTAGTTTTCAATATTTCTTAACGAATATAAGCAATTGTAATATTGCCACTAAAGGTCATACTACAGGTAATTGGTGACTTTTTAATTTGGAATTCAACTTCTTCTTACACACACATCCAAGCATAAGCACACGTTTATATTACAATAACAAAGAAAAGCAAGGATAAAGCACTATTCACCATTTCAACTGAATGATTCGAAAACAATTTCAACAAAATCCATTCCCGTTATCGCTTTAGACAATGTCACAGAACTTAATGCACACAAAGACTGACCGAGAAACTTTTTACATTAATTGTACTGAAAATAAAACTACGTTTTTTCTCTCTCACCGCGTAATTGCACCCCTCTTGCGATTGCACCTAAGTTGGTGGTAAAAGCACAATAATCGCTGGTTCGCATGCACTGTTCACAAAGTGTTGTCGAAAACTGGCTTTAAAAAAACTGTAGTGCAGTATGT